CCCGGGAAGCGCCCCGGAACAGCCACACTGCTCCAGCACAGGCTGATGAAATCTCTTCATTCCTCTCCCTGTGAAAGCTCACCTCCTGCAGTCCTCCCAATATCCTCCCCATCTCCTCCCTCCTGCTCATCCTGAGTCCCTTTTCCTGCCACATCTTTTAACCTTACTAGGGAGGGGGAAAGGGATGAGAGGGCAAAAAAAGACCACCCTTAAAACCCAACACCCAAAGGAGATGATTTCTGTGGTGTATGATGGTGTGCTCCAGGTCGTTGCCCTGCCATGGCCAGTCCACCAGCCAAGATTCTCTGACCTGTCCCAGTTCATGATCTTTTCTCAGCCCAAGCAGGAGACACTCATGCAGGCACAGCTTTCAGAAAATATTTTAGTAATGCTATTTGAGACTGAAGGCATGTGAAGGCAGAGGGCTTGAAGCTGGACAGTCTCTTTTTGGGTTGCACATAAGCTGGTCACAAGGAAAGCAGTTGGAAATGGCTTACTCCACATACTTGTGACTCAAGGCACAAATGCAAGAGATGCTTAAACTCTGTCTTCAGGTACTGTGGCCGTGCTTGCACATGTGTGTATGTATATAACATCATGTGCATTCATTTTCCCACATTGATTAGCTACACTTTTCCAAGCAGAATCTCATTTGTTTGTTTTCTTCCCACATATTTAATTTTCAAGGCTCTGCTCCTACAGCTGGAGCAGATATATAGGTGATATATAACCAACAAGAACTTGTTGTGACTGTTCTGAAAAGCTGTTTTGAATTGCTCTCGATGAATCTCTAAGAGGGCATTTCTTTCCTTTGATCTCAGAAACATTCAGGAAAAGGGAGATAGGAAAAATAATGCCTGTGTGCCTTTGCTGGGCTATGCTGACCTTGTCTAAGTGTTCTGGGCAGGCTTGAGAGACATCTGGGAAGGGACTGTGGTGTGTGTGACAACAGGCAGGGACTTAGAAAGGGGCTGTCTGGAGGAGTGACTTGGGTGCACCTTTTTAGGCAGCCCTTTTGTTGGAGGTTCCCAAGTAAACTGCTCAGCACCTGCCTGTCAGTTCTCCAGGCAGAAGGGGCTGGCAAGAGCCTGGGCCTGAGCTGGGCTCAGAAGGAATTTGTGCAACCTCTCGCACACTGTGGAACGTGTGTCATTCCTGTCTTGCATCACTGCTCTCTGCTCTTACTGCCTGGAGTTTCTGTTGCCCCCTGGCTCTATGAGATATGAATTGGTGTTATTTTCTGTTCCTAATAATTTTTGAATCAGCAGTACAGATTTTCACAAAGAGCAAACATAAAAAAGCCTCAAAAGCAAACACCTAGCAGTGATGTGAATCCTAGGATGCCCTTAGCCTGCCTCCTCTGAAATATATAAGGAGTAGCTTGATGTCTTAAGATTTCATTGTACTTCACCTTAGAGGAATAAACTGGCTGGGAGGTGGCCAGAAAATTCCCTCTGAAAAACTGAGAGAAACTTGCTAGAATCATGCAATATTCTGAATTGGAAGAGACCCATCATCCAGTCCAGTCCCTGGCCCTGCCCAGGACACTACAACAATCCCAGCCAGTGCATCCCTGGGAGCATTGTTCAAACACTCCTGCTGTGGCAGCCTCGGGGCTGAGACCATTCCCTGGGGAGCCTGTTTCAGTGGCTTAGTGGCTTTTTTAGTAGCTTCCACTTAGTGGTCTTTTCCTTTTTCCTGCAGCATCTGTTCTCTGGATTGCAGGGTCAAGGCCCCAGCCGCTGCAGAGCCTGGGAACGTTCAGCCAGGTGTAGCTGACACTTTTCTTTCTCCTTTTCTTTGAATGCAGAATCTGAAGAGGAGGTCCAGGATGTCCATGAACACTCAGTTTAATAAAACACTGGCCTGTTTGCTCGCTGGGAGTTGGAGCGGACACAGATGTTGATGGAGCTGCTCACATGTGGCTCTGCCCAGCCCTGCCCTGCTGAGACACAGACTGGCAAGAGCAACGGGCCACTCATGGTCTCCTGCCGTGTCCCCACGGCCCCACGGTGTCACAGGCAGAGCTGCTGTCTGGGCTGTCTGCTCTGGAGGCACAGCAGCCCCTCCTCATCCCGTGGCACCGCTCCGAGCTGGGCAGGGCTCCCGGGGAGAGCTCACCGAGTGAGTGCAAGCTGCTATTTTGGCGTCTTCATGCCACAGAAGGTCTTGCTAAACACTGCAAAAATAAACAAGCCTTCAGGACCAAAAGCTGCAGAAATTACTTTCTGTGGCCTGGTAGCTCCTGACTTCATTTCCTCACTTAGGTCAAAAGCCAGATTTCTTCAATTAACTTTTCCATGCTTATTTCAGACACAGGAACAAGCTATTCTCCATCTCACCGCTCACAGGGCTGCCCTGCAAGGTGCTGCTTCTGACTTCAGTGGAAACCAAGAGCTCTCATCACTTTTGGTCACCTCAATGTCCCTCAGCTGACACCATCTCGGCCACTGACTGTTTGCCAGCAGCAGGAGAGGGGAAGACACAGGGACGTCAGCATTTCTGGGAAGGAGCTGGGTCAGACTCTTTCCATTGCAAAGAATCCACCCTCTCATCTGGCAATGTGAACAAAGTCTCTCACTCACCCCTTAACTCCTCCACCTACCCTCAAATAGCTGTCATGGCCTGTTAAGAGCCTATTTCAAACATATCTTAGATGTCTCCATCACAAGAGTCATACAAAATCCTGGAGTTCATGTGGTTCCTGCTTCTCTCCTTCCTCTCATTTCCCCAAGACACAGCAAAAATTCCCAGCAAAAGCCTCTGTAACAGATGCAGAGCAGAGCCCTATCCGTCACCCAGCCTTAACTTCATATTCTGAGACTCCTGAAATCCTTCAAAACGATTTTTCTGTCTTTTCCAACATTTTGATGATGCAGGGATAAAACTTGAGAAGTCATCAGGCTCTAGTTTATTACATTCCCCCTCCCCCCCATTTATGAATATTTTGTGTTTTTCTGAATATCACTAGTTCTTATTTCCTACATCTCATAATTTGCAGACATTCAAGCAAAATGAAACCTGCCACATTCAAAACATACAGAACCCATGCAGCTTTCAAACAGCAGAGAATTCCTGTCAGGTTCATTGCACTAAATGATCAGTCAGGCCAGATTCCCATGTGAAGTGCACGTGTCTGTGGCACCAAGTGCTTCCAAGCACAAGGAAGCATTGGTAAGGGTACAACACTGGAGCTAAAGATAACTCTTAACAATTTGAAACTTGATGTAGGGACAGACTTTCCCATCTGCTCAGTAAAGCTTCCCGTGTCTTCCTTTGAAGCAGCAGCTTCTCAAGAGAGTGCTCTGGTAATGCAGTCCCAGTTCAGGATAATCCTCTATCTCCCTTTGTTGGTGGGAAAGGTTTTTACAGGGTTTGCTGCCCTTAATCCTCGAAAAAGGCATCTTTGTCCCAGCTGCTAATCAGTCCCTGACAGTCAAGTGATCAGGCAATGGCACTGTTTTAAACCCAACATTATTCCCTTGTGGAGCTCATTCCTTGTCTCCTTGTGACCGAGGCCCCTGTGGAACCTTTCAGTCTAGGGAAGAGCTGAATTTCCTTCACCACAGAACCCAGCAGAATTACATTCGGACCTTTCGAGGCTCTTGTTTGTCCTACAGCACAAGCAGAAGACACAAGCTCAGAATTCTCCTGTGCAGAGAAGTCAGTCTTAAACTAGAGGAAATATCCAGGAGTGGGTCTGGATTCACCCCATTTGGCTTCTTGTGCTCCTGGTCTGTGGCTTGTCTGAACCAGCTCCCTGTAGCCTTGACCATTCTGGAGGGCTCAGAGGCTTAACAGAGGGGGAAGGTCTTGAAGTCAGGGTGCTCCCACTCCTTTTTTTAGGAGTCAGGAAGGCAGAGAGCCTCCAGGGATGCATTTCTCTGCTCAAAAGAACCAGTGCAGCTCTAAAGTCCTCTCTTTCCCTCCTTATCCCTAACAGAAGAGGAGATTCCTGAATTTGTGAGCCACAAGCTTCTTTGGGAAAGCTGCAGCCCCTCCACTCCCCACTGCAGTATTACCAGGCTGCCAGGGCAGAGCCTGCTCCCAGGGTCTCCCTTGCCCGAATTATGCTGCTGCTCCTGTTCCCATAGGAGCTGCTGGAGTGCAGGTCTGCCTCCGTGGGGCTCAGGGGAGGAGAGGGAGGAACTGTCTGGGAACTTGGGTGTGAAAGATCCTCTTCAGCAGATGTGTGACTGTCCTTGGCTGCCTGGAAGGGAAGAAGCAGTATCTGAGAAAACAGAATGGTTCCTCACAGTTCTTTACCTCTTGCTTCTGGGTGATGCTTTTGAGGGCTGTGGGCTCCACTGTGGAGTTTCTCCAGCATTCCTGCAGTGATGCAGAGCTTATTTTCCTTCTTTGCGTCCCAAGTCACAGCCAAAAACTGATGGAAGCCAGAGCATCCCAAACTCCCTCTATGGAAACTGAAGGCCCAGTCCTTCTGCTGGGACCCCCTTCCCGAGAGGTCCCACCCCTGAACTGGGCATGGTCGCGCTGGCTGGATATCTCCCCTCCTGCACAAATCCTTCAGATCCTTTGGAAATGTGAATATCGGTTCATTTTGTTGTTGCTTTTTGTTTCGTTTGGGTTTTTTTGCTGAGTCTATCTTGGCTCTCGGGGTTTGGGAATAAATTATGACCCAGAAAAAAAAACAAAAAAAAAGACCACACACGGGGAAAAAAAATACATTTTATATATATGCAAAACTGTGTATTTATGTCCGATAAACACAAAGATGTGTGAATATGCTGATGTGCTCAGAAATATATTTATTTACTAATATATTTATCCATGTACTGGTCTGCTGCCTGCGTTTGTTCTTTGTGCGTGGGGCTGCGCTCGGGCCCGGCCCGGCCGTGAAAGAAACCCCGTCCGTGCCCGGGGTGGACCCAGCGCTGGAGCGAGCTCCGAGCCGTCCCCGCTCCCGTTCCCGCTCCCGTTCCTGTCCCCGCTCCCGTCCCCGTCCCCGTTCCCGTTCCGGGGCGGCGCCGGGGCCGCTGCGCAGCCGCAGAAGGAGACCGGGCGGCGATGGCCGCGATCTCGCTGGAGACCGTCCCCAAGGACCTGCGGCACCTGCGGGCCTGCCTGCTCTGCTCCCTCGTCAAGGTGGGACCGGGGAGGGGACAGGGACAGGGGCCGGCACAGGGATTGCTCCCCGCCGGCTCCGGACCTTCCTCTGCCCGGCTTAAGCCTTGCAGCCCCGACCGGGCCCCTTTTCCTGGCCCCGGCACTCCCGGTCCCAGCCCCGCCACGTCGGCTCCGGCCCCGGCCCTTCCCTGCGCCGGCTCTGTTTCCTCTCGGTCCCGGCCCGAATCTTTCTGCCCTTCTCGGCCCTTTCCATGCCTGTTCTGGCCCTCCTTGTCCCGGCCCGGCCTCCCCGCTCCTGCCCCGGCCCTGCCCCGCCCGGGCCTCTCCGCAGCCCCGGGGCGATTCCCGTCCGCCCCGGCCGTGGCCCTGAGCCCTCCTTCCCGGCCTTCCCTCCCTTTCCCCGGCCCCGTCGCTACCCGGCTCCCGGCTGGTCCCGCTCTCCGACACCCGTGTTCCCTTAGACCATCGACCAGTTCGAGTATGATGGCTGTGACAACTGCGAGACGTATCTGCAGATGAAGGGCAACCGCGAGATGGTCTATGACTGCACCAGCTCCTCCTTCGATGGGTGAGTGGGGCTGGGCCCGGCCGCGGTCCCCCGGCAGCCTGGGGACACCCAGGTGGCACTGTGGGGTCACCCAGCCAGGAGACATCTCCTTACTGCCATCCCTCCTGCAGGATCATCACCATGATGAGCCCTGAGGACAGCTGGGTCTCCAAGTGGCAGCGGATCAGTGAGTAATTTGGGAGCTGGAGATCCCTTCTCTACAAACCCTTCTCAGGGGCAGTGGGAACTCCTCCTTGGAGTGGAACTTGGGTTTGGGAACTTGGAACTGCTGGAAGGAGTTCTGCCCTCCCTGTAAAGGGACATCTGCACAGGTTGAGGATTCCCATGTGGCTGCTCCATGTGGGGTAACTTGGGGTTTTATTTCCTGCAGGTACCTTCAAGCCAGGTGTCTATGCGGTGTCTGTGACCGGCCGCCTGCCCCAAGGTACCTGTGTGGTGGAGTCAGGCTTTGGGGCTCTGAACACTGCATTAGGGAACGTGCCATGTGGGTGATGGGATCAGCAAAGGTGTGACAGGATCAGCAGAGGTGACTGTGAGGAGGTGCTGGACTAGAGAGGGAGTTTTAGAGTTCAGCACTGTACCTGCCAGAAGTTTATATTGTAAGCTGCTGACTAAAGCCTGGCTATCAGAGGCATCAGCTGGGATTAATTAGTGATTCTGGGAAGTGGGCATGTCTCAAACCATTCCGCTCCAGGATAACATGAAGTTTCGTTTATAAAAAAGGGTTTTGCAGAATGGGGTGCTGTTGTGGCCACCCCAATGAGCAGACCCCTCCTCCTGCACTAAGGGCTTATGCCATGGTGGATTTCTGTGTTTACAAATGGAGTAGAGGGTGCAGAGGATTTGCTTCATCTCTGGAATACATCCATCCATCCATCCATCCATCCATCCATCCATCCATCCATCCAGCTGAGTTCCTGCCCAATATGTAGTCCCAGAGTAGATTCCTAACCCAGGGGTGAATCCCCAACCCCTGGGGTGGAAGCTATGCCTGTGTCTGACTGGGGTCTGCATTGGGAAGGAGCTGCAAGCATCGTGAGGCCGGGAGCTGAGGCCTTGTGACACAGCACATCTGAAATACCCAGGGTTAGGGTTTAAATGGGATATCAGGGAAAGGTTCTTTCCCCAGAGGATGGTGGGGCACTGCACAGGCTCCCCAGGGGATGGTCCCAGCCCTAAGGCTGGCAGAGCTCCAGAAGCGTTTGCACACTGCTCCCAGGCATGAACAGGGTGGGATTGTTGGGGTGTCTGTGCAGGGCCAGGGACTGGACTCCCATGATCCTTAACCCTCTTCCAACTCAGGATATTCCATGATTCTGTGAAATGAAGGTTATTGTCCAGTTCTACATGACGGAACCACCAGATATTCCCAGGGCTTCTCATTCCAGGAGAAGGCTGAGATGTGTTTGTCTCCTTGCTGCAGGGATCGTCCGAGAGCTGAAGAGCCGTGGCGTGGCCTACAAGTCTCGGGACACAGCCATAAAAACCTGAAGGGCCCTTGTGCTGCCTGGAGATCCCAGTGCTGCATGGAAGAAGCCCTGGGCACTGCTCCAAAACCTCTGAGCTTTATCCTGTAGGGAAGTGGGTCTGGACTTGGGGTGTGCTGGCTCAGCTCCCCTCGCTCAGTCCCTCCAGACTCCTCCACACCACAGACCACAGACATTTATCTGAGCCTTGGCCGGGGGGAGGGTGTGAGTAGAGCTGGGAAAAGGTGTTTAATCATTATGCCCAAGCTTTTTTACAGTTGGTGTGGGAAAGAGGGGATTTGGGAAATAGCTGTGTAAATAGTTCAATAAAACCCACTGGCTGGTCAGGGCTGGGTCCAGCTGTCACTCTGTCACTGGTTTCACCCCCCTGCCTGTGATTGTCACTGCTTGTGCCATGGGCCACACTCCTGCCTTGAGAGCGAGATCCTGCCCTGGCTGCACGAGGTGTCCTTCCACGTGGGAAACCTGCAGCTGCCAGCTGGATGGAGCACAGACGGTGATGGCCAGGGCTCCCTGTGGAGCTGCTTACATGGAGGTCATGGAGCCCTGGGCCTGCAGGTCCTGTACAAGGACAGGTGGCAGGATGGAGCTCCCAGGACCATCCACTGGCTGTTGCTGGGCTCCAGGGCAGGCAGAGCAGGACGAGCCCGTGGCTGGTGTGGTTGGGAGGCAGCGCCAGGCCGTGCACGCAGGCGGGGTGGACAAGCGAGGGTGGAAACACCCACCCAGCCAATTCTGCAGATCTGACTGTTACAAGTGTCAGCTTAATGTCTGTAACACTTGCACTCCTGAGGGATTTGGCCTTCTTGAATTACTTTGTTTTACTTCTAGAGCACCCATTGATTAAGAAGGGCCAAATCCTCAATCAGTAGCCCTGTGAAATAAGATTTTTTTTTCCATGAGATAATTCTGGAGCTGGAAAGCTCAAGTTTTGTTTTGTGGAGACAAGTAATGGAAAACCAGTAGAGCCTGAAAATTACACTTGGTCTGGGATGAGAGCAGCTGCAGCACAGGGAATGCAGGACTGGCTGAGAGTCACACTGCCAGGCGTGCAGAGCTGATGCCCTCCCTGCACTGCTCTAGTCTGTAGAGTTGGCCATGAGAAATGAGTCCTAGGTGCCCCACGTCAGACAGAGCATGGCCTCCTGCAGAGATCTGGAGCAGAAATGTGGTGAGAGAAGCCTGGAGAACAGGGAAGCTGGAGGGGAAGGTGCCTTAAGCCACCTTTTGCATGGGCCCTTGCAGATGTGATGCTGAAGTAATGAGTATTTGCTCAGTGCAGACCAGTGTCAAGTCAAGTCCTTGCTGGGCTCTGAGCTCCAGCAAACGTCTCCAGGTGCAGGTCACTTTTTGTGGAAAGAGGTGAGAGCACATCAGCCCCTGGTGTGGGGGTTGGACTCTCCTCTTGGGTACAGGGAGCAGCAGGTTCAGTTCTGCAGTCAGAAGGGGAGTTGATCATGACTTTTGCACATCTCTGGTGAAATCAAATCCCTCGAGCTGACTGGTGAATCATCCTTCAGGCTTGCTGGGTTGCACTCTGGGCAGAAGATGGACCTTGGGAATTCCCAGCAGGCCAGTGGGACAGGAGGTGTGACTGTCCCAGCAGCCCAGGGCCTGCCTCTGCAGGATGCTCGGGTTCAGGCATTCTGGGCATGCACCTCTGGGCTCTGGAGGGCAATTTTGACCCAGCTGTGCCATGAGGGGCACAGGGTAACCTGGGATCCCCCCAGATGCATTCATCCCCTGTGGAATGGTCTGGGAAAGCTGCAGCACTGGGCTGGCTGGGCCGCCTGGACAGCCTGACGCATTCAGGATGGAAGGGGGCAAGGAGGATGAGGTGGGTGGCTCTTTGTCCAGCTGGCTGGAAACGGGTTTGGGGAGCAAGAGTTTGGCTCCAGCCAGGCTGGGAGGATGCTGGGTGACAGATCCACCCCCCTGCCATGCCCAGCCCGGGGAGCCTGACGCTGGCAGTGCCACGGGGTGGCAGCACGGCCTTGTGCTGGGGAACTGCTGGAGACCGACTGAGGCACAAGCTCCATTTTCTGCTGTTTCACAGCGCCTTTCAATCCAACTGCCTTCCCCTGGCTGCAGGGAATGGCCATGCCGGAGCCACATCAGGACCCAAGACCCCTGGCCCATGATACAAAGGAGGTGACGAGAGGGCTCTGCACAGGACCCTGAGCAAGATGGGCTCCTTTGGCCGGGGTTGCTGTGGGGCTGAGGCTCTGTGGTTCTCATCTCCCTTCCTGGGAAGTTGCAGTCACTGCTCAGGGCTGGGAACTTTGCTTAAGGAAATTGTCCCCAGGGAGCAGTGTGCACTGTCACTGTGCCCCTCAGGGAAACTGAGGGGGTTTGGAGACCCTGCAGAGACCTCACCCCTTGCTAGAAGTCCAAGTGCTCCAGGACACGTGGAGGTTAAGATTGGCCAGAGCTGCAGTGCAGATGCAAAGGAGCCATCCCAGTGAGGAAAATGAAGGTGGTGGTCCTTGAAAGCTGCACCTCCTGTGCCTGTAGCGCTTCCAGAACGCGGTGCCTCTCACCAGGCTGGCCCCGAGCCCGTTCCCTGCGAGCTCCCTCCGCTCCCGCAAGGCTCCCAACAGAGCCCTTCAGTGAGAGTCCAGCCCCGGGGCTGCCTGGGGTATGTACGAGCAAAAAAGCAAACGATGCGAAGATTTATTGGCTGCAAAAAGTAGGGCAGGGAGCTCTCACGTTGAAGAAACTGGGGGGAAAATGTGCGGCAGCAGCCGGAGTGGGAATCGGGAGCGAGAAGCGTCAGCGGGCCGGGAGCTAAGATGAGTCAGGAGCGCTCCACCCCCTGCACCAAATGACGCTCGAATGTTTCAGCCAGGCCCGAAAACGCTGCAGGTTTGGCACCCGAGCAGCCTGGCAGCGCTGGGCGGCACGGCCAGGGCAGGAAACACGAGCCAGTGGATTTTCGTGCGGGTTTTGAGAAGCGATACCCCGGCTCTCCCTGCGGACGAGAAAAGCGACTTTCCAAACCGCAGCGCCCTCGGTGCCTGTGCAGAGGCAGCTGCCGGGAAATGCCGTCCCACCTGCGGGGCCCCTCCGGCTCTCCGGGGACAGCGAGCGGCCCAGCCCGGGCCGAGGCGGCCCCGGCCCCTCTCTGGGGCCGCCCGGGCTCCGTGTCCGGGAGCACAGTGCACCCTGCCCGGGGGCCGAGGCTGGGCCGCCCCCCTTCTGCCCCCGGGGCTGTGCCTGCTACCCTGAGGTGTTGCCGGGGCTGGCAACAGCATCACGGAATCAGGGAATGGTTTGGGCTGGAAGGAACTTTAAAGACCGTCTTGTTCCCTAACTTGCCATCCAGGGACACCTCCCACTGTCCCAGGCTGCTCCCAGCCCTGTCCAGCCTGGCCTTGGGCACTGCCAGGGATCCAGGGGCAGCCACAGCTGCTCTGGGCACCCTGTGCCAGGGCCTGCCCACCCTCACAGGGAACAATTCCATTCCAATACCCCATCTAACCCAGGCCTTTGTAAATTGTTTCTCTTCATCTTTCCTGTAATTTCTCTTCAGGTACTGGAAAGCCATAGTTAGGTCACCCTGGAGCTTATTTTTCCATGCTGAACAATTCAAATTCTGTCGCCTTTCCTGACAGGACAGGTGCTCCCGCTCTCTGAGAATCAGTCCTGCTTCACTCTAAATGCACTTTCACCTTCTCCACTGGCTCCCAGTGTGGACTTGGACTTTCTCAGGTGCCTTCTGGCCATCCTGTGTGCCTGGGGGAACCAGATACCTCAGGGATGTGGAAACCCCTGGGGACAGGTGGTAGGGGTAGGGGAAAAGCCCCAGACAGACCCAGTTTAAGACTATTTTCCTTGGAAACTGGCTGAGGAGACCTTGGCAGGTGGAGGTGATAGGGAAGATGACCTGAGTTGTCCTGGCAGCTGGAGTGAAATGCTGCTGTAGTGAGGATGGCAAAGCCTGGACATGCCAGGAATGGGTGCCCCTGTCACCTCCATGCCGGGCACATGGGCAGAAGCCACCAAGGCCCCTGTGTGTGATGTGGGGAGAGGAGGCGCCCAGGGGCAGACCCGAACAGCAGCAGGAGGGGGGCAGTTCTTTAGGGGGCAAGGTGGGGAGGGGGCAAGCTCCAAGAGCTCTCAAAGCGTGGCAGGAACAGGGCCCAGCTGCCACGTGCCTGTGCCAAGGGGACCCTGGGCAAGGAACGGGGGGATCTGTGAGCAAACAGGGAGCTCCCATGCATGATGGGCCCTCTGGGTGCTTTCCCCTCAGGAACTGTGGAGGAAGGACAAGGCTCTGCCTTGTGAAGGGGAGAGACTGGTGGGTTCCTGACAGAGGCCTGCAAAGGGCACCTGGAAGTGGAACAGCCACCCCTTGTGAGCTCAGGGCTGTCAGCAGAGACCTAAACTGCTTCATGGTGGATACACCTCCAAACCCACAGGTCTGCCCACAGAGTTGGGGTTCTGGAGTCTGGTGGGGGGTCCCAACCCATCTCTAGCCTGAGATCTTTCACCTCCCTGGCCTACTCCATCATGGGAAGGGAGATGCAGAGGGTTGGGAGGGGCAGAGTGGAGTCTCAGCTTGGGAGTGGAGGTGGCTGGGGGTGCTGAGGACCCATTTCCTGAGGCCACATGGCAAAGTGGGACCACAGCTGAAGTCCAAGGATGGTATCTCTGCATCCCCAGCTCTCCCAGACCTCCTGCTGCATCCCAGGTGCCACTTATCCTTCCCTCCTCCTGGCCAGCTGCATGTCACCCAGGCTGGTGCTGCTGCTGGGCTGGAAGGGGCCTATTCCCTCCAAGGAAACTGGAAGGGGCTTTTCCCCTCCAACAGGCAGTTGCAGAAGAACCACTGAGTGCCCAAACAGAGCCGTGGTTTGGGAAAGGACATTGCAGCTCTGGTGCCCGAAAGAGCCCAGGTGTGTGGTACAGGGCAGCACATTGCAGCGGCTGCAGGATCCATCCCCTTGGCCAGGCGGGGGCTTTGGACCAGCACAGCGGGCCTGGAGAGGCACTGGGAAGGTGCCACCAATGCCAGCTTCGGGGAGAGGCTTCTGGGCAGCCCTGGATACCTGTCCCCCCTCCTCAGCTATTCCTGCCCCTTGTCTTGGAGGCTCAAGGGACAGCAGGGTTTGTC